ACAGGTAGAAGAGTAGACTCTCATATGTACCTTGTTCCAAAGAGTTCTATGAAATTATGACATAAAAGTAATACATATTTATAGCAAACTCTCTGACATTTTGATATACCAACACATTGTACAAGGTTCGAACTGGGATAAGCATATCAATATCATTACTTTTTTCACTTGTTTGTGGTAAATTATTCATAATCCTTTTATCAAATTTTTTGAAATGAACATTATGCTATCATTATCTATAGTCCTAATGCGGCATAGTGGAGCATCAAAACTTATGTTTCCTATCTAAATATTATGTATCATCTATTAATCAAACTTTAATTTGCCCTGCTTTTTACTATGCAAGCCTTTGGTAACCATTATTATATTCTCAACAGGTTTTCAATTTAAATTTAAGAACTGAGAGAACTGAAATGTCTATCTAGCCTGGGCAAGGCCTGGAATTTTATTCTCTGTACAGAAATGAAAATTATATTTTAATGAACTAAAATATAAATCCCAATTCTCAGTCAGACTAGGTATACTTCAGATGTAAAATCACAGAGAAATTTTAAATAAATCTCAGATAATACATAATGCTCTGAAGAGATGGGCAAGGAGGTAAAGGTGCTTTCTGCTAAGCCTACAAACGTGAGATTTATCCACAGGAATGAAAGGGGAGAATGAACACTTAAAGTTGTTCTTTGACTAACCTATGTGCTCTGTGACATGGAGGCACACACACACACACACACACACACACACACACACACACACACACACACACACACTAAAGCACCCACACGTATACACACATACACACACATCAATAAATAAATAGATGTGATTTAAAAATTTTAAATAAGCCACAGTCAATTTATACAAAGGCTTGTCTCAGATCTAAATCCTGGATATTTTTTCCAATATATCAGTTGAGACGCTCATATGATATGAATATCAAGTAAATGATATGCAAAGGCAATCTATTTACATGAGGATCCTATCTGTTTATCTAAGTCCTAACTCAGTTTTAAGACAAATATATTGGTATTTAGTAGTCTCCAAAATTGACCACATACTCAAACAAAAAGCAAGTCTCAATATGTACAAGAAAATTGAAATCACTCCCTGCATTCAATCTGACAATGATGGATTAAAACTGGATTTCAACAACAGAAAGATTACAAACTCATGGAAACTGTAAAATTCACTACAGAATGAAAAGAAGTGTTATTATTTATTTGTTGTCAACAGAAAATTACTTAGTAATTAACAGTGAGTTTCTTTGGTAGAATTGGTAGTGTTTATAATAAGTACTAATGTTACATAGGCACTCCTCTCCCTGCCAAGGAAGATACAATGTTGCAGCACAACTAAGAGCCTAGACTCCTAAGCATGAGATCCTAGACTCATAAGAATTTCCAGTGCCATGTGTTGAGAAATTTGCTGAAGGATTTTCTCACATGGCTCTCAGTGTAAGTTTATTTGATTTCTACTGCTCTCGCTATGGTATTGCTGCTTTTGCCTTGAGTGAACCTCTAATAACATGTGCTGTCACATGGTTTGAAAGGATAAGAGCTAAGATATAATCCATCATACAGAAGAAGACTATTATTATGTGACTATTTTTAATATTCCTTGGTATTATCCAGGAAGGAAAATTCTTTTATGGTCTTGAATTCATTTGAATTATGCCTCTTATAGGAATATTTCTTCTTGGGGGTATCTAATTAAAGTGATTTAGAGCAATCAAATAATTACGGCTAATCAAGTTGATTTTTTATCTGGTTTTTAACCACTCAGTTATCTTTCATGTAAGGTGAAAAGATTAATGAGAGTTAACAGAATATTTGTGAAAATTAAGTCAAATAATACATGTAAATAGCTAGGTTAATGACCAGAATTTGGTAAGTATAAAAATAAATTATATGAATACATGGATGTGTTAGGTTATTTTGAATGAAATAAAAATTGAAAGAAATTAACTTACACAGGGAAATATTTATTTCGGTTCAAGATTTAAGGGATTTCAGTCCATGATCATGTGTTCTCACAGATTTTTCAGTCTGCAGTGAGGCAAGACACCATATCATATGTAATGGAGAAAGTATGTTCACATTCATGACAAACAGGAAGCAAAGAAAATGTGGAAAAGGTCAGATTTCCAGTACACCTTTCCAGAGCACACTCTTCAGTTACATAGGTTTGTTCTGCTAGGCTCCACTTGACAATGCTCCATTACCACCCAAAGGATTACAGGTTGGTATCCAACCTCTTAATATGTGAGTCTCTGTTGGACACTCCAGATCAAAACCATAAAAGTAGCTACATATCTCCTAGGTCTTTTCTGGAATTAAGATTTGGTAACTCAGCCAGAAAATTGATCCAGAGGAAAGCTTTGAGCTTAAAGGAGGAAGAATTAGTTGGCCTACCTAATCTTAACAGATGCAAAGGAAGAAAATATTTTGGGTTAGATTGTGTTATCCTAAATGATATGTGGAAATCCCAACTCTCATGTTTGCATTTGATGAATTTTGTAAACAAGGACTTGATGGATGAAACCAAGGTATAATGAATGCATCTTGGTGTTTGGAGGTTGGCTCCTAATCAGACAACCTTTGTTCTTAAAAGAAATGGAGTATATAGAGAGAGACACAGGTTCTCAGAGGTGAAGGCCACATGATATCATTTCCAAATGTGATTAAGCTATCATAAACCAAGGAAGTCCAAGAATTACTGGGAGCCAGAAGAAGCTATAGTCCACTGGAAAAGGTCCTCCTTAGAACCTTCAGATGCAGCCCAGGACTGAGTACACTGTGGTTTGAGGCCTTCAGCTCTCAGAACATAAGGGAACAAAATTACATTGTTTAAAGACACATGCTTTGTAGCACTTTGTTATGGCAACCTAAGAAACTCTTCTAAGTAATCATACATTTAAAAATATTTAAATGTAGACAATGTTGGGTTGATTTTTCTGTATGAGGAAGAAAATAAGCCATCTCAATCAATATATTCTTGAGTATTCAAAGATGCCTGGATGATCACTCTTCTATCTACATCATATTATTTAGATATGCTTGTAACACTTATATTCAATAACTTAAAATGCTAAATTAAAATGAATAAATAAGAGATCTAGGCTTAGTGCTGGAAATAAATAAGAGATCTAGGCTTAGGGTTGGCAGAAATGCTTATGTTTTTACAGTGGGTTTGTGTTCAATTTCCAGTACCCACATCAAACAGTTCACAAATTCCTATAAGTCTAGTTCCAGGAGATGTGACATCCTTTTCTGGCCTCTGCAGATACCTGAATACATGTGGTGTACATAAAAAGTCATGCATATACATATATACACATCAGTAATAAGTATATAAGTCTATATCTAAAATGTATATTCTTACAAGGGCTATTCAACTAAAATAATATAAAAACAACAAAACTCATATTCATTGGTATTAACTCCTGAATCCACTTCATCTATTAGAGCACTTTCTTTGCCCAGTCATGTTCAGATAAGAAAAAAAAAATGAATGTTTTACTTAAATTGCAAATGTTGCACCAAATTTCAGTCCTTAGGAATTATGCCCGTTAACTTAATGAAATATTTAAATAAGAATACAAATTAGATTTTTGTATTAGTATTTTCTACTTTATAAAAGGCTAAGAAGTCACTGATTAATACTAAAAAATTTAATAACATAATAATTTCATTATTTCTTTGAGAATTTCATACAATGTACCTTGGAAACATTCACTCCCTACTTCTTCCCCCACCTCATCCTAGATCTAGCCCCTCTTTCTACCCACTCTTTTTAAAGGTATTTGTTCTTTTTTTATTTAAGAATTTTTAAAATTCATTTTGCATTCCAACCACAGAGCCCTCTCCCATCTCACCCCAGCCTCACCTCCCCCAATTCTGCTTTTCATCCCCTCCTCCAAATTGTAATGCGTCCCATGGGGAGTCAGCAAAGCCTGGTACATTCAATTGAGGCAGGACCAAGCCCCTTGCCCCTGCATCAGGAACTGGCTTTTTAGACCCCATTACCTATGGTGGGACCCCTTGCCCATTTTTTTTTTTTTAAGAAGAGACTATCTCATTGCAGATGTTCTTGTTCTCTGGCTTATTTCAGTCTTTCTGTTTCCTTTTCTGAAATGTTCCCTGATCTTTAAGTGTAGAGGTTGTTTTGCAAAGGTATTATTTTGGACAGGCACTCTATGGTTGGTTGATCTCTATCATTTGGCCAGTTGTGGCTTTCTGTAATGATTTCCTTCTGTTGTAAAGAGAGGCTTCTTTGAGAAAGGTGAGAGCTGCACTCTTCTGTGGATACAAGCATAAGCATTCAGAATGTATTTAGACATTACACTTTTTACAGAAAGTGGCAGTGGTAGGTTCTCCTGGAGATTCTACAGCATACAACAGTAGTTGGATACATTCATGGTGCCAGGCATAAATTCCCTTCAATTGTCTATCCCTTAAGTACATTCAGTGGCTGTTGGTTTCCCCTAGGATATTAGTGCCACTGTTACACCTTTAGGATTATCTTGCAGTTCTGGCTATATATAGCTAGATTGCTCTTCTCCCTTGGCAATTTGCATAGCAACTTGGAATATTATCAGAGCTAGTCCTCAGGTAATAGGCTTTCAGTCAGATTTAGGTTGATCCTCCAAGCCCTGTGTCAAAAGTATATGGTATCATCAATAGGGTCTTGCCTTAATTTTTTGGAAGGCACCAAGAGCAAAAGCCAGTATTTTCTTTGGGGGCGGGGGGCGGTGGTTTCTTGGACTCCCTTGACTAACAACTCAAAAGCAAATGCCGTATGCTTAACACTTTTGATACCTGATGCTTAAAATAAAACCAAACATATTAAAACAGGCCTTTAAAATATTATTTTTTATTTATCTTCTAAGAAAGCCTAAACAGTTTATATGATTACCCAATTGGTTAACTGTTAAGAGTTTTATAGTGAATGAATATTACTAAGAATCTGAAAAGGTGCTTGAGTAAAATGATAATGGCCAGACTATATACAAAAATAGAGTTCAGAACACAATCCATGCCATGCCCTGTGACTCAACCCACCCTCTGTTGTTACCAGCCAAGGAAGACATTCTACTCTCTTGGCAAATAAAATTTATGTGAAGTTAAATCAATATTTCTTTTAGCACTATAGGATTTCCCCAATAACAGATGTCTAAGTCCAGGGCCTAAAAGTCTCCATAACTTATACCCCCATTTTTAACTTATGACTCTTCAGAGTAACCAGAAACGAACCCTTAACCTATCATCAACCTACAGCCTCCCTGTGCCACTGGTTTCAAATCAGAGCACATCAGGACTTCTCTTATTGCCTCTCTAAAGCTCTCCCATTCCTTTACTGGCATTCCAGTCTCTGCCAAAATGCAAGTGATACTGACTGTGTCTATTGCTCTGTCAAAATCTAAAGAAAAACCCTCTGCTTGTTTTTAAATATACTTTTCAGACAAAAGAGTCAAGTACTGGATGAACTCCTTAAGACCAGCAACTATTTGTAAGTTTGTTTCCAATACCTGGGTACATTGTCAACTATGCAACAGCTGAGTCATTTATTTACAGTGCAAATTTTAGCTTATATAACATTTGTACATTTTTGGAGATCATACAGATAGCACATGATATATTCCAAATGAGCCATTAGTGAGGTGTGCAGACATGCTCAGCTTGGCACAGAGTGAAGATGTATCTATCATTTCTCATAAAGACAGAAAGTTCACTGCAATATTTTATTTCTACACATACAAGGTACAAATACATAATTGTAAGGTTTAAATCTTGTGCACGCATTTGATTCATGAGAATTAAATTTCCTGTGCAAAGTAAAATATGCAAACTTAGATTTGTACTTTTTACTTAATTTGATTCAAGAGATGACAGTGACTCATTCAATCATCGGACAAAAAATCAAATCTAATAAAAATTTTTCATAATTCAAGCATAATGATGGTATCTACCTGTAATCCCAGCAGTCAAGAGGCAGAGGTAGGAAGATCTGAAATTCCAGAACACCCTGGGATTCACAGTAGATCTGTAGAAACAGAACAGATTCTGAGAATATTCATTTGAGGGCATGTCTGGGGTAAGACCTTGACTTAATCAGTAACCACACACACACACACACACACACACACACACACACACACACACACACACACACACTTTATAATTGAACTGTTGAAAGTGGGGCAAAGCTTAATATATTCAAGAAAAAAATTTTAACTCTGTGCTTACTGTCATTAAAAGGATTTAAATGATTTTCTTTCTTACTTAAGTTTCAAATTCCTTGTTCAGCTGGTTGATATTATATAACAGAAAGATGACAAGGTAATAATACATTAGTTTTATAAAATGAATTAAGCCTCAGGTAACTGGATAGGGATTGCATGTACATTTTATTTATATGATTGATATTCATATTATATAAGAATCTTACTTGCTGTATTAGAAAAATGTGTACAAGATTTAGATCTGAGACAGGTCTTTGTATTAACTAATTGGGATTTATTTGAAAAATTTCACCTTTTATCAAAAGTAGATTCTCTTTTCATACAATATATCCTGATTACATTTTTCCCTTCTTCTATTCCTCCCAGTTACTCCCACCACCTCTTCCATCTAGATCCATTCCCTTTCCATCTCTCATTAGAAAAGAACAGGCTTCTAAAAGATAACAATGAAACATAATAAGATATTTTTGTTTTATTAAAAAAGATCATTGAAGTTGGACAAGGTAAACCAAGAGAAGGAAAGGAGCCCCAAGAGAAGTCACAGGAATCATAGAACCACTCATTTCCACCCTCAGGAGTCCTCTTTGAAAGTCTTTCTTCTGCATGCTGCCATATTATAGCTTCATCATGTGAATCTTTAGCCTGTATGTAGCCCAGATAGTAATTATATTTGGGGCTGTTATCTCTGTCTCACTATAAGTAAAATTTCTCAAAAAATGACCTTAAAAGACCATCATATACACCATAAAATAACTACTTTTGAACTTTGTACCATATCAGGCATGTTTACTTTGGAACAAGATAGCTAGGTTCTCATCAATACTCACATGTCAAGTTGAAAGGCCTTAATCAAGGTCTGTTATAAATCATGCTGCATTACACATATCCAAGTCATCGAACTGGAATGTATTCTACATGCTTACCCACATATTTCCCTAGCATAACGCTTTGTTAATCTGATCAAGTCATGTATTCCAATGGGGAGTTTCCTCTTTTGATATGCCTCCCTACTTGCATATTTAGTGCGTGCATATTCTTCTCTGTCTCTGTTTCAGTCCCAGTGTTCTTCATAGGCAATCTGACACTATTTTATCTATCTGATGTTTAATTGAAATTTGTAACTTTTTCCTGCAGCACACCTCTTGAAATTTCTGTGAACTTTCCTTGTAGAGTTCCTTTTGTTGTTCAGTGTCCCAGTGCTCTGTAATTTCCATTGTTGTTTGCAAACTTAAACAAACAAACAAACAAAAAGCCCTTGGCTCTTAACTTGTATGTGAATGTCAGCAGTGGAAAATCCCTCATTAGTTAGTCCAACACCATTCCTGCCAGTGAGCAAAGTTAGGTAGTACTCAAAGACAATGAGACAGTGTGCACCAGCATCCAGTCACTCCCTGAAACTGAACTCAAGAGAACAGATTCATTTTATGCTCAAATCACAGCAGCCTATCATTTTCCTGACTGACATGTGTCAGTGTGTTCCAAAGCCCAGATTCTCAGAGGTGTTCACAGGACAATCTCAGCATGCATCCAAAGACTGAAAGTCTTTCCTAAATTGCCTTAAAAGAAAACATGGCTATAAATAAAAGATTAGTGGAAACAAATAATTTCTGTAAATTATTCTTTCTTGGGATCAAGATTGCAAAATTGAGCTATTATCAAGACAGATGTCTAATATGAAATAACTCCTGGACATCAATGCTTTATGCTACAGAAAAATTTCTTTTTTGCATTTAAATTCATTGATTCCATGGATTCTGGAAGGTTACAATACAATTTTAGTTTTCTTTACTTTAAGGATCATCTTCTATGACTCCTTTATTTAACTTTTTCAAGTATATTTGATCATATTATTTTCCTTTCTTAAATGCTGCAAGATCCTTCCCAGCTCCCTACCCACCCAATTTTATGCTGTCTCTCTCTTTTTCAAACAAACAAAAAATGAAAATCAAAATGCAGAAAAAGAGAGAGGGGAGAAGGAGGGAGGGAGTTCATTTTGTGTTGGCCAACTACACCCGGCAAGGGGCTGCCCTAAGTGTGGTTGTACCCAGTAACTGCCCATTTCCTGAAACCTCTGTGTTTAATCTACAGAAAGAGAATGATCCAGAAATTGATGTTGAACACCTGGGTGCTGCTTCAGGAAGACACTTATTTTTCTTGTCAAACGTTGAATTTATAGGAGAATATGTATGAAATATGGAAGGCAGAAGGTTATTATTCCCTTTAACTTCTGATGAAGGACTTCTCATATATATTAAGCACCACAAAAGAAATCTTTTATCTAACGTTTGGCAACATACATTTGATCCTTTTTCTAAATGTTCTTGTAAACAACAAACGACAATGCATGCCAGCACGAGGTTGTGAAAAGACATATTCAAGACTTCTAAGATAGTCCATCTCATTGATAGCATGCCAGTCATCATCCACTTGGTAAGAATAGCCTTCCCGAGCCAGAGGGATCAAGGACAACACAAGAAAACCAGCAGAATAGACACACCTGGGCACACAAGGACTTACAGAGCGGAGCCAACAACCAGGGGGCCTGCATGAGTCTGACCCAGACCCTCTGTATATATGTTACAATTGTGTAGCTTGCTGTTCGTGCAGGACTCTTAGCAGTGAGAGTGGTGAATGTCTTTGACTCTGTTGCCTACTTTTGGGACCCATTTCCTCATACTGGGTTGCCTTGCCCAGCCTTAATAAGAAGGGGAGGTGTCTAGTGTTATAGAAAGTTGATAAACTATGATTGGTTGATATCCCTGAGAGGCCTGATCTTTTCTGAAAGAAAAGGAGGTGGACTTGATCTGGGGTGAGGTGGGGACTGGAAGGAGAGGAGGGAGGGGAAACTGGTTGGGATGTCATATATGAGGGAAGAAAAAATTGAAAAGAAAAATAGCCTCCCCATTCAGACATCTCAAATTGCTCTGAAGAACAGTATTAATTTTTAAAATCTGAGATTAAACCATTTAATCAGGCCAACTGACTGTCTCTGGCTATTTAGAAAGACTACAAAGTCCGGAATCTGCTCTAGAGTAACAATAATGAGCCTAACAATAAACTTCCACATGAAACAGCAAGACCTGTCCTGGCTATAATTATACATTACTCTCCGCTATTGGCTACGTCCAAAGGAGGTATACATAACAATCTCAACAAAATTGCAGGACTGCTGTTATCGGATGACATTTGAACACTATACCAAAAGACTGAGTCTTCCCTTGTGGCATTTATCACAAAGTGGGTTGGCTGTAGTTGTATTATCAACGAGATGCATTTCTAGACCTTTTTCATTTTAATTTCCTCAAATGGAAGTAAGTCAGGCTTTGGATATAGGTAACCTTTAGGGAAATTTAGAGCAGGTTTTTTTTTTTTTTTTTTCTCCTCTGCAGGGTGGCAACAGATTTGAGTCTTCCTAACTTACCTCTGACAGTTTGTGCTGGCGACAATGCCGTTTACAACAGCAGATGGTTGCTTGCATACCATAGAAAGTGGGGGGGGTGGAGAAGCAAGTGATACATCAACTGGGATCACAGCCCCAGGAAAACTTGCACATTTCAGCAAAAGCTATAGAGATTTGAATGTTTATAAGCAATAAGGAACGGGAGAGGGAACAGGAGGCAAAAAAACTCAACACATAAAAGGAAAGGTTAGTGTGGCAGAAGGCGGGGGCCTGTTACTCTTCCCCGAGGAAAGAGTAAACGCATTTGATAATTTTGTGGCTGCATAATGTGCACACCTTCAGGACAGTACATTGTGGACATGGAGTTCTTAACAAAGCACAGAGAGTCCTTGTTGCAGAGTCACAACTGGGAATATATTAACAATGATTTGGAAGATGGCTCCCCTCTGCACACACAATATAGCCCACAATCAGCCTAGCTTTCTCCTCTTGTCTCCTTCTGAGTTTGTTTCCCTGTCCTCCAGGAATCTATAGCAATTAAGCAGATTGTTAATAAAGAGACCACTTCTGTAACACACAAGTAACGTTTTGATTGGCTTGGAGCAAAGTCCTAATACATGACTAGAACCTGGGCCTTGTTATGGAGGCTGCAGAGCCCATTGTGTTTCAAGGAGGTTCAGAGTAAACATATGTATCTCCTGTGATCTTTCTGCTGATTTTGTTTAATCTTTTTGTTCTCTCAGCTGTGAGTGCAGATAATAATAGCACCTACCTCTCAGGTTTCCTGGGCGGATGTGTTCAGAAAAGTTGTAGCACAGCAAGAGCCAGCATTTGTGGGTTACTCTGTGTCCTTTTACTGAGAGTCTAATGTGATTTACTGTGTACACATAACAGTTCGGAGCAGTTTCTTCAGATTCGATTCACTTCAGTAATTCAAACTCTCCTCTCTTCTAGCAGATGGCTTTTAAAATTAATAAATGATAAATAGCTGACATTTGGTGTTTGCCACATGCCAAGCATGGCTCTTAAATGTTTTACAGTCTTGTTTCCTACATACTTTGGTGAACACACTCAACATTGCTCCTGCCTTAGATGTGTAGAAAAGGAGGCACAGATACATGAAAAGAATTGTCCTACAGCCAAGTATTGAGTGGCTAGAGGAAGCCAGCTTCAGTCCCAGGCTGTCTGGCTCCAGGGTCCACACCCTTACCTCTTCTCTACATGGCTTCCTGTATTTGTTCTGACATTAACCTATCTCTGAGCCTCGCTGCTTTCACCCCAGCCAAGCTCTAAGTAAGCTCAGCTTCTCAGTTCTTTTGACTAGTGTACTTCCCATGACCTCTTGCCTGGTAATTCTATCTTTTTAAGTGTCTGTAATTTATCACATTTCATTGGCTTTTC